TTTTAAGTTCTTCCAAGTCCAGCCCTTGTGGAGGAGCTGTCAACTAACTTAGCATACCTTCTTCCTAGGAGGAAAGGTCCTCATCTCCCTCTGACTGTAGCTGTTGTTATTGTGTTTACTTTTGCATCTCTGAGCTTGGTTTTGCTGTTTATAATAGTTCCTAACCCAGGTAGGCTATTTTTTTTTTTTATCTGACCCTATCTTAGGTGTTCTGACTGCTTTACTCATAGTAGCTAAACTGAATTACTCTACAGGGATCCCTTTGACCTGGCAGGAGGCCTTTTTGAGCAGCTACTTAGAAGATGCTCTAGCATAGTCACTGTCTGAGCTACTTTTGCTCATTGCTGAGATAAAATACCCAATACCTCATGTTAAAGGAAAAAGGATTTATTGTAGCTCACAGCTTATAGAGGCTTCAGTTCATAATCACCTGGCTCCAAGGCAGAGTGGCACAGCATAGGGGCATCACAGAGCAGGCAGGAAGAGCAGAAGACAGGTAGCAGCGGCAGCAAGTGACAGCAGCAGCCCACTTTGGGCCCCTTACATCCTATCCAGGCTACAAGCCCTTAGGGCAGGTAGCACTACACCCAGGGAGGCCTTCCCATCATCCACACCCAGAACATTGCCAGCCAACCAGTGGGCTAATTTAGTAATCACATACCCTTGATCCCAGCTTCACACACTCTAGATCACCCCAGAAAAGCCCCCTATGACCAGTAGGGGGACATTTACACACAAGCCCCTAACAGTCACCGTAGCCAGAGCTGTGCAAGGCAAACAGAACTGGGGGGCAAAGCTTCTCTCCCCTTGCCATTTCCCTGGGATGTCCCTCCCTTTTGCTCTGGGAGGGATGGAGCAAATGAGCACATGCCTTGCTTATTCAACTGGGAATGAGTGGTCCGTCTCTCCTTGCAGAAGTCCGGCCTCTTTGTCCCCTGCTGTGTGAACCAGCCTCACCCTGCCAAGCAGACAGCTTAACTCTTAGGAGGTCACTGAGAAATACAGGCACCTGATCCATAATCTCTGCAGGGTTAGAGACTCCAGGCAACCCCTTCCTATTTCCTCTCTGGAACTTGGGACCAGGGTCAGGTGGGGAGGTAGGCGGAGGTGGTGCTAGGAGCAAAATCAGTCTTCATCCCTTAGTAATGCCAGGATGGGCTGGCTGGCTTTATTTGCAGCCCTGTCTAGGATATGGGTCCTTTTCTCAGCCAGCCAGGACAGTCAGGGCTGCTGCAGACCGAGTATCTCTTACAGTTGGGTATGTGGATGAGATGCTTCGCTGGGATGGTGACCTTGTGGCTAGATGCAGAGGGAGGGGAGGGTGCAGTTGGTGGGGTAGGGCCATGGGATGGCAGTGACAGTGCCTTAGCTCTAGAGAGGAGGAAAGACCCGGCAGCAGGAGAAGAGGGTGGGTGGAGTAGGAGTTTTTCCTTTTAAATGAGAGAAGCTCTTGTTTACCAGCAGAAGATCTTAAGTGCCCTTTAGATGAAGAAAAAGTGGTCTCCGTTGTGTGGAGAGATGTCGAGTATGATGGCCAGGAGTAGGCAGTGGTCCTGTAGTGCCCCAGAGAGCAATGACATTTTCCTATGATGGAACAGAAATATAACTCCCAACTGCTAGAGTCAGATATGCCAGTTCATGTCTCCAGAAATTGAAGAATGAATTTCAAGGAATGTGGTTAAGAGTGGGAAAGGTTCACTGAGAGATAGCTCCTGAGAGACAGGAGGGGTCTGGAGGGGGCTGGCACTGAAGCCCTTTGTTGGGGTAATTTGTACAGCAAAGTCGCAGTGTGGGTGCCATGTGGGTCAAGATGCAATCACCCTATTAGATTACGAGTGTAGTTGCTTAGCTAATATTGATCTAATAGGGAACCAGGTCACGTAGCAAGGGTACAAGTGCTCTGTGGCTTGTCAGGTGGTATTGAATGTTTAGTGTTTACGTAAAAGAAACCACAGCTTGCCTGAAATTGACCAACTGCATCTTTAAATGGATGGAAGTAACATGGATTTCTCTGGCGTGACGTAGATGTCCCCCAAGTTCAGACCCATCCATGACCGCAGGCCAGGTGACTGCATAGAAGGACATGCCTCCCGGAAATGGTCGGAGTGCTGCAAAGGAACTGTCATGTTGAATGAAAGATGGGCATTTTCCATATAGGTGTTTGATGAAGACTGTGGGAAGTCGGTAGTTCAACCCTTTATGCATCTTAGAGAAATCAAAGGAAAGCCTTTGAAGAAGCAGGAACCACAAGTCACTTGTGAATAAACTCAGAAGACTATTGGTTGGAATTCTTAATTTGTCACTACAAAAGAGAAAGGAAAAAATGACCATCTTGCAGAAAGAGATGATAGAATGAAACAGCTCTGTTTCATTATACATAAAGAGATCTAAATTTTTGCCTGTTTAAACTTAGCTTGGACTAGCTCTGGCAACAAAGTAAAAGAAATTTGTGGTTTTAAACATGTGATTCTTGCATTTTTGCTGGCCCAGACCTGTAGCCATATCACTCCCCTTTTTAAAGACACAGAGCCATAGGGGCTGGGGATTTAGCTCAGCAGCAAAGTGCCTGCCTGGCAAGCGCAAGGTTGTGAGTTCGGTTCCCGGTACCGGAGAAAAACCAAAAAAAAACCAAAAAAAAAAAAAAAAAAAAGACACAGAGCCTTGCTGGGTTGCCCAGGCAAGGCCTAAACTCCTGGGAATGTCACCATGCTGGGTCTGAGGTGTCCTGAAGCAAAAAGAAGGAATTTAACCTATACTTCTATAGACTCCAACTTCCATCATGGCAAAAGTTTGCAGGACTCATCAGTGCAAGGCACAGGAAGGGTTTATTAGGCAGAGATTTAGGACACACTCAA